TTTATATATTTATTCATTAATAAATATCTATTTATTGAGTATAGAATCATTTAAACAATTATCTAGGATGTCGCAATCGATGTCGTACGACGTGATCTACGACACAGTCTCAACTTGAGTAATGTCGGTGTCTAAGTCGGACGACATCTTTTATTCAAGTCCAGATTGTCTTACATTTTTTTTTAATTAAGTAGTATTGATCTATTCATCCGTTTGATATTTATTATTTATATATTTATTCATTAATAAATATCTATTTATTGAGTATAGAATCATTTAAACAATTATCTAGGATGTCGCAATCGATGTCGTACGACGTGATCTACGACACAGTCTCAACTTGAGTAATGTCGGTGTCTAAGTCGGACGACATCTTTTATTCAAGTCCAGATTGTCTTACATTTTTTTTTAATTAAGTAGTATTGATCTATTCATCCGTTTGATATTTATTATTTATATATTTATTCATTAATAAATATCTATTTATTGAGTATAGAATCATTTAAACAATTATCTAGGATGTCGCAATCGATGTCGTACGACGTGATCTACGACACAGTGTCAACTTGAGTGATGTCGGTGTCTAAGTCGGTCGACATCCGCAATTTCAACCCCGACTGTTTCAAAAGTATTTTTTCCAGATAACATAAAAATTTATTTCATATAAAATAATTTAGACAATTTTTTAGAATGTCGCAATTGATGTCGCACGACATAGTCTGCGACAGTATGAATTCGAGTTTTGTCACTCCCTGTGTCATTAAACGGTTCTTCTAATTATTTCCTAACTGCCTGATAATTATTATTCATTGTATCTATCAAAAATCATTTTTATTGAAAACAACGATACCCTTAATTTTTCTCTTTCCATCAAATTAATATCTGTAGATTTTTTATACTCCAGTCCTCTCATGCACGTTTTGAAAAGCTATTTTCCTGTTATTTTGTATATTAACCGTTTTTATACTTTACTACTGATTTTTAATAGCATTTTGCAGTTTTCATAATGCGACGTCGAAGTGACGCACACTACGACTAGTCGTACGACGTCGAAGTCGTCCACCAGGGTCTACACGAATCAAGATAACAAGATAATTAAATTATCAAATGTTATCAGTGCTAAAGATGTATCAGATAATTTATTATCATTAAGAAAATTAGTAGATAAAGGATTTAAGATTTATTTAGATGATAAGACTTTGAGAGTATTTTGTGAAAATTTAGAAGAAATAATACTAGAAGGAATATATGAATAACCCAACTGGATCTTGAACTTCAAAGTTAAGAATTACATCGACGATAAAAACAAATTAGATTGGGAATAGAATGCTTATCGTTGTAAAGCTGTAATGATTCAAGAAGATGACACCGATGAATCAGAAGTAGATTTACAAAGGAAGGAGGGAGATTCAGAAAACATAGAGGTCAAGGATTCTTCAATTAGGAGGGAGGAAGAAGTTACAACACCTCCAGAAATAGAACAACATCCTGAAAATCCAGATGATGACATGTTTAATTGGGATTCTAGTTTAATAACTAGAAATACAATTAAGCTAGATGACATCGAGAGCATTAAGAATTTAGAAGAGTTATTCACATCAAATCCATTAGAGCAAGGGACAACAGAGTCAAGTAAAATAAATGAAGCTATGTTATGGCATGTAAGACTTGGTCATGCTTCATTAAATTATCTCAAGAAGTTACAGAAAGTATACAGTAACTTAGAAAAAGTTAGATTTGATGATTCAATTCTAGATTTTGAAATATGTATTATGTCAAAGATGCAAAAATTACCATTTAAAGAAGTTAGAAGACGAGCATCAAGACCATTACAAATAATACAAAACCAACTTCACACCCAGGACACAAAAGATTTATTAATGTGTACATAGATGATTACTCCAGATTAGCTAGAGCATACCCAGTAAAGACTAAAGATGAATCAGGAGAAACATTAGAAAAATTTCTAATATCTTCAAGAAATTTACTCGGCAAAGATGAAAAAGTATGCTACGTTAGATCGGATCAAGGAACAGAATTCACTGGTGGAAAATTTCTAGAGTTTTTAAGAGAAGAAAAGATAGAATTAGAATTAACACCGCCTTATACCCCTGAACACAATGGAGTCTCTGAAAGATTCAACGCTACGTTGCAGAGAAAAGTCAGAACCTATATGTTAGATTCTGGTTTACCCAAGAGTATGTGGGAGTTAGCAGTGGACGCAGCTGTTCACTCATACAACCGACGCCACATAAATCTATAGATTATGATGTACCATTGATGAAATTTAATAAGAATGAAAATTGTCATTTTGATAAAATTAAAAGATTTGGATGTATTGGATATATTAGAATTCCAAAACCAGAGCACAAGTTCAGCGAGAGAGCAATCAAAGCTGTAATGGTGGGATATAAACCCACAGGATACTTGTTATGGCACCTAAGTACTGGAAAATTTCTAGAGTCACGACATATTAGATTCAATGAAAAATTAGTGTATAAAGATGTATATAAGAATTAACAAACAGAAGAAACTGAAGATGAAATTAGTTGGAAGTCAGATGAAAATGTACCAAATAATTTAGAAGACAAAATCAACGAAGAAAAGGAGAAACCGGAACAAAGGAAAAGAGGAAAACCCCGTAAAAATCCACTAGATGTTAAAAACTTAAATGAAAAGATGAATTCATCAGAAGAAATTAGACCATGTACTAGAGGTGAGATGAAAAGAAAATTAGAATCTGAAAAAGATAAATTGATTGGAGACATAAGCTTAGCAAAAAGTGTCAACGTGTCTGAAGATCTATCTAAGATGGATGAACAAGAATTAATAAGATGCTTAATTACTTCTTTAAAAAAAGAACCTATTAACTATGATGAGGCAAGCAACTCAAGTGAAAGATGTCAATGGATGAAGGCTATCAAAGATGAATTGGACTCAATAACTAAAAATGATGTCTGGGAATTCGTAGATTTGAAAGAAGCAAGTAAAATTGAAGGAAAATTAAATATCATTGATTCAAGATGGGTATTTAAAAAGAAAGTAGAAGTAAATAAAGATGTACTTTATAAAGCACGACTAGTATGTCGAGGTTTTAAAGATCAGAATGATTATGATTTAAAAGATACATATTCGCAAGTATCTAGACTATCACTCATACGAGCATTACTTTCAATAGTAAATAAATATGATCTAGAAATCTGTCAATATGATGTGAAAACTGCATTCCTTTATGGAAATTTAGATGAAGACATTTACATGAAGATACCAGAACATTTACATGAAGATACCAGAATTTATGTAGATGACATTTTAGCTGCTAGCAATGATCCAAAGAAGTTAGACGAAATTGGAAACCATTTATGTAAGAATTTTGAGATGAAAATTCTTGGTGAACCCAAGAAATTTCTTGGAATTGAGATAGAAAGAAATAGGGAAAAGAAATACATCGTATTAAATCAAAGTAGTTATATAGAAAGCATTTTAGACAGATTTAAGATGACTGATTGTAACCCGCAGAATACCCCAATGGTTACTAGACAAGCTGAAAATAGAAGTAAAAGAAGAAAATTGAAAGAGTTAGAATCATCTAAACGTGAACAATCATCAATCACTAGAAAAGCTCCATACAGAGAGGCAATTGGAAGTCTTATGTACTTAGCAAATGGAACTAGACCAGATATTTCGTTTGCTGTACATTACTTAGCTAGAAAACAGTTAAGTGCTACCGAAGATGACTGGAAAGATGTTAAAAGAATTTTGAGATATTTGAAAGGTACAGTAAATTCAAACCTGAAATATACAGGTAACTCAGATGACTTAGAAGCTTTCTCAGATGCTAGTTTCAGAGATAATGATGACTCCACGTCATCAGGAGGATATATTATTAGACTTTTTGGTGACGTAATTGCTTGGAGAAGTCACAAACAAAATTACGTTACATTGTCAACTTGTCAAGCAGAATATTTGGCAATGAGTGATGCTTGTCAAGAGATAATATCTTTAGATAAAGCAATTAGATTTGTAATCGGAAAGACATTATTTCCTACTACTATTTGGTGTGATAACAAGTCAGCAGACGACTGTACTAAGAAGGATGGAAGTCATAAACTTAAGATGTTCGATAACAGCGTAAATGAAATTAGATTAGAATTACTAGAACGAGAGAAAACAGGTTTTAGAAAAAACATGGCACAAACCCATGGTGATTTCATTAGACAATGTGTTAATGAAAATAGAATAAGAGTTTGTTGGATTTCTACAAAAAAAAATTTGGCTGATATACTAACTAAGCCACTACCGGCAGAACCGTTTAGATACTTAAGAGATAAATTATAAGATTAAACAATTAGAAGTATATTAGAAGCTATTTAGAATTAATTATAATTATTATTTCATGATGTTACAGAGAAACCTAATGACAGAAAGAAGTAGAGCAGTGGAAGCTGGAAACAAGAAAATGGAGGGAGTGTTAAGAGTGCAAGATTTTCTTGTCCAGTAATTTAATTATTTAAGTCTTTATTATACTTTATATCTGTATTTGCCGCTCAAAGCGACAACTAAATCAATATTGATTTGTACGGAGATAGCGTCGGTCTACTTGCAGGCTAGCTGCGCATACGACTCACTCTCCGGCTTGCTCGCTGTGGCTTGCACATCTTGTTGCTTGGACGCTTGACTGATCGTGTGCTACTACGTAGTTACAACTCAAGTATTTTTCTTATATATTGTTAACATTATAATACGCATATTATTTGATATCTAAGATTGTTTAGAAGTGTTTTTATATTTAATAGAAGATTAAATAAATCTAGATTCACTTGAACTAAAACCTTGTGTTCCAATTTTATTTATAAACCCGACATCTGTCTTGTAATCGATCACAAATTTTATTAGTGTGTTTTTGTTTAGTGCAAAAATCTTTCATCCTCCCTTCTGGTAGCTGCTCAAAAAATTTTTGAACCTTCAACTGCTGGTTATGAGATCTCACCACTTGTGAATCAATGTGACGTGTTCTGTGAATTACATTTAAATATTGTCTATTTAAATCTTCATATCGAAAACAATCGTTAGCCCACAAAGGTCCAAGAGCAAGTACACATTTAGGTAGATGTATCAGAAGATGAAGATTAATGGAACAATTTTTTAAACCACATAAATTTTCAAATTCACGTACAAATTTGTGTAGAAAGTTCGACGCCATATTTATCTCAGCATTTGTTATAGAATCTAAATTTAAAAGCGCAATTCCAGCAACCAATAAAGAAAAATGTTCTAAATACTCTTGTTGCATTACTCCTTGCATGACTGGTAAAGCATAATAAAAGAACCAATTCTTAAGCTCAGATGCTTTCCAGTGTACAAGATCTTGCGTTGAGCGAGGCATACGATGAACAAAGCTGGGTGGCTTGATATTAATTAATCGATTGTTAATGATATTTGACATATCAATTAATGAGAAAGGTTCACCTCTATTGCTCGGGTCAAACCATAATGATAGTAGTTTTTTTACCACACCACCAAAAACACGGTGCATTTGATCTATAGCAGTTCCAACGATGAAATCAGACATTAATTTAGATAGAGCACAGGGTCCTTTGACACCCATATGAGGAGAACCATCATTTAATGCGAGTCGAGCAAAAGTAACACATTCTCTTGAAGTTCGCATTTGAGGATCCAGCTACTACCGATAAACATGAGTATGAGAACTGCCATCAGGTGGCAAGCGATAAGTTTCGCCAGGCCATAAACATGATAGACAGCCATAACTGCCCATAAAATAAGTGAAATTAAAAAATTGACACTTTGCTGGAAGGTCACAAGTTCCTATAAGTAATACCGCTTTGACTTCTATGATCTGATTATCAGCCAAAGTAATTTGAATACCTTCAGATAAATTTTTTAATTGTTTATAGAATTTATTGAAATAGTTATTAGCGTTAGGTTTCTCAGATCCGAACCATAATCCAAGTAGTAATAAATTTTCACGTTTTGTCTGCTCAGCAAAAGGTAACTCATTAATAGATAAATATACTGGCCACATGCTAACTTTAGAGGATTTGTAAACTGGTACCCTGTCGGTGTACCAAGTCAAAGAAATATTATTTCTGTCCGCTAAAAACCCAATTTCAATAAATTTTTTATACAAACTTCCCTTGTACACATCATCGATATGAGGATTATCATCATCATCTACATCAGGATGAAAACGTTGCTGTAAACATTCGTAAAATCCTGGTCTTCGATATAATTCTTTCAGCTGACTCTTAATAGGCAATTCGACGAAATAAGCAGTGTTTGTTGATTCGCAGTTGTCACATACTTCATTCTCTGCTTTTAAATTTTGTTGGCAAATAGAGCAGTAAAAATGTTTTTTTTTCTTAACTTTCCCTTTTTTTGACAATGAAAAAAATTAGGCAGTTTTCCAACTCCAAATAACTTTAACGCCTCCAGACCATTAACCCTGGGCTGGAGGTTCTCCTTAGTCCTTTTCTTGACCTTGCTGCGCTTCTCCAACGCCTCTTTAGCCTTCTTCTTGGGCTTCCTGGTCTCCATTCTAGCCTCCTGCTCCAGGGACTTGAGCTTCTTGGAGCACAACCTGAAACCAACCGCCCACCAAACCTTAAATATGACCCTAGACCTTGAATATGACCTAGAAGCTGGTTCAGGTTACTTACTTAAGCACGGCCTCGCTCTCATTGCTGACCATGGCCAGCTGGACCAGTTCCGTGTCCAGAAGATTCCCCTCAACCTGGTGGAGCACCCTGGTGGTCCAGATCTGCTGCCTGAGTTCACTGAGCTTCACCTGGATGTCGTTCCTCATGACCGGCAGCCTCATTGACCTGGTCCTTGGACTCCTGATCTTGATCTCCTCATCAGGAGGCTTGGAGTAGCTGTCCAGCTCCTCCTCGCAGCACATGTCGCTGCCAGGGTCAGTCGAGGGTAGGTCCAAAGCTTGACGGCTCTAATTTAAGGACACCCACCAAACAATAACCTGGAAGAAGCTAAAGAATTCTAAGAACTTACCATGAGCTTCCGTTTAATTCGGTAAGTCTCCCTCGGCTGGGCCTTGGTCCTGCTCCTCCTGAGCTTGCGGAGCGTCTGAGCCTTTGTCATCTGAGGAGAAGGTGGCGGGACGTTCAGAAATCCAGGATTATCATCAAGCTCCTCGCTTTCCACAGGATTAGGCTTGTTGATGATTTTGTCCTCAGAAGAGTCAGAAGAGTCAGAAGAGTCGCCTTTATCACTGGAATAATCGGTCAGGTTGATGTTGGTTGGCTCATCCGCGCTGGAGCCTTCCTTTATCAGCCTCAGGAGGATCTTGTTCCTCAGCTTCTCCTAAAAGAACCACTTGTTAGCTCTTGAAGATAGAAAGAAGAGATTAAAGGCTACCTTGACAGGATCATCATCAGAAAAGTCTATTAGAGTCTCGCAGAAAGCCTTGCCAATTTGTTGATAGTCTTGAGCATAAAAGTGTGTTCCTGATTGGGAACCCAGCTTGGATCCAGCCATAGAAGCTTCCATGGTGTAGCTATTTTGAACGCCCATCAGCCATACCACAACTCGGCTGGTTCCTTCTTTGCCTTTCTCAATGTAAAACTTGCAGTTTTCAAAAGAAAACTTATCCGCTGCGTTTTTATGAAGCATTAGCGGGAAAATCTGCTCTGCTAGCTTGCCATAGCAAGCCCTCTTGCTCTCGCAGCCGTAGATAAAGATATTGTGCTTCCGAGAGTGGGCATGAAGGTCGCAGTACATGGCAATTCCGCATTCCTCCATCAGCCGGCGGATCATCAGCTTGGTGTGCCAGACACTGGGGTAACTTTCTCGCATCACTGTTCGGTACTGCCGGTTTAGATCTTTGCCGCTCAATGAGCACCGGTTGTTTCCTACGATGACGCCATCTGGGTTCAGCATTGGAACCAGCTTGAAGATAAACCGCTCTCTTAGCTCCTAAAAGAGAAATCATTAGGTTGGATCAAGTATCTAGTTTGGAAGACTCACCCTAGCTTGGTTAGACTCGCCAGTAAGGAAATCGATGATCCCCTTCATGATGACAATCCCCTTCTTCTTTTTCCTCTCTTCGTTGACTGGAGCAGTGATGGTCAAGTAGTGGACACTGTTCCCTGCCAGAGTTCGGCAGAGCAGCCTCAGTTTGGTGAACTTTACCTTGACCGGGTCGCTGGACAACTTGAATAAGTACTCTTGGAGGTCGGAATAAGTGTAAGAGTAGCAGTGTGCTAGGTAGACAGTGTCCTGGTCATGTGGAAAGGTTATGTTGAAGGTCAGGGTGTGCTTTTCTCGCTTTTCATTCCTGGAAAAGACAAAATCAGTCGCAGTCCTCTTAATCAGTCTTCCTGATCAGTTTTACTGATCAGTCTTCCTGATCAGTTTTACTGATCAGTCTTCTTAATCAGTCTTCCTGATCAGTTTTACTGATCAGTCTTCTTAATCAGTCTTCCTGATCAGTTTTACTGATCAGTCTTCTTAATCAGTCTTCCTGATCAGTCTTCTTAATCAGTCTTCCTGATCAATTTTCCTAATCAGTCTTTCTGATCAGTTTTCTTAATCAGTTTTATTAATCAGTCTTCCTGATCAGTCTTCCTAATTAGTCATCCTGATCAGTCTTCCTGATCAGCCACCATACTTACGAAGAATCATTTTTGTAGTAGCTGATGTTCTCTCCGCAGCGCCTCCAACCAACTGCATGAAGACTAGCGTCCTTCAAAGAGTACAGCAACGGCTTGAGTCCTTCATTATACAAGCTGTCCTCCTTGCAAAGATTGACTATCGACAACCTGTAGATAATTCTGCTCCTAGTATTAGAAATCCTGAAGTAGAACCACTGCATGTGTCTCTGAGTATACAGATCTTTCCTCAGGTACAATTGGTAGTAGGTGTCTGTTATCTTGATGACCTTTCCAAGATTTCCTGACTTGAACCTGGACTCGAATTGAAGATCATCATCCAGGACCACGCAGGACAGTGAGTCTATAGCCGTCCCTCCGATGTAGGACCTGGTGAACTGAATTGTGGGTCAATCACTGAATTTTGATCTACCAAAAATTAACCAATACTCACGTAGTTAGTAGCGCTCATCGGGCAGTAGTTGAACACCAGGCTTCCAAATTCATAATTAACCGGCTTAGGCTTGGGTTCTCTTCCCGTTGGGGAGTAGTAAGGCTCCGGGATTGATAGGGTGTAGTCAATATGACGGACCCGCTCTGCTAAAACCTAGAATTTAAAAAGGAATATCAGCTAGAATGTAGAATCTAAGTTAGAATTATAATCTAGCAAACCTTGCACTCTGTTGGCCACCTCGGTTCCTGGGCGACCACATCCGTTAATTGGACGTCTAGCTCCCGGAACTTTACCAGCCCCGTGGTTACCGGAAGAGTGTCCAGGTCCCGTTTGATCACCCCAAATCTGTCCTGGAGAATTTGGGTGGTCAGCCCACCTGGAACAGATAAATATCATCAGTAGCATTCTGGTTAATCATTTCTGGTTGATGATTATCACTCACCTGGAATAGGCTGAACTGGAAAGAGTGCAGCTTGCAATTCCTTGATTGGGCTGCTAGCCAGATCCATGTAGACTAACTCATCGTATTGATCAATCAGTCCTCCTACTCCCACTCCCGCTCCCTAGCAACTTCTTTTAGAGTCCTTTGTCAGTCTTTTGTTGGTTCCAGATGGGGCGAATTGTGACTGTGGCGGTGAGCACCCTGAACCAATGGGCGATGGACTTTGACGGGAACCTCAGGAGGACCCTGGAAAGCATCAGCCAGGCTAAGGCAGCTGGTGCAAAATTCCGCAGCGGGCCTGAATTAGAAACATCGTAAGTAGGAATCTTAATAGTAGATTGACAATTTAAACTAACCTACTTGATGATTCCAGGGGGTACAATTGTGAAGACCACTTCTTCGAAAGCGACACCAGGTTGCACAGCTGGCAGGTTTTAGCTACTCTCCTAGCCTCCAATGTCTGCCAGGACATGATTATTGACGTTGGAATGCCAGTGATGCACAAGAACGTCACTTACAATTGCCGCGTCGCCTTCCTAAATTCTAGAATTCTGCTAATCCGTCCCAAGATGCAGATGTGTGACACTATCATGTACCGGGAAAGCAGGTGGTTCTCTCCCTGGACCAAGGTATGTTCTAAAATCCTAGGTGAGTCTTCTAGAATGAATCTGAGCTGGTTGATGATTTTTAGGAATGAACTGTTGAAGATTTCTTCCTACCGAGGATCATCACCTAGGTGACAGGACAAACTGTGGTTCCAATTGGCGACGCTGTTATCTCAACCAGAGACACTTGCATCGGGTTTGAAATTTGCGAGGAATTGTAGCACCCAGCTTCTAACCACATCAACATGTCGTTGGACGGAGTTAAGATAATCTCCAATTCAAGTGGAAGTGTCTTTGTAATTCGCAAGGCCCACATGATCACAGATCGCGTTAAGTCTGCCACTGCCAAAGCAGGAGGTGTTTATATGTACAGCAATTTGCGTGGCTGCGATGGTGGAAGGATGTTCTTCAACGGGTCCAGCTCAGTTTCTTTGAACGATGAGATTGTCACAGCAGGAAAGCAGTTTTCATTGGCGGAGGACGAGGTCACTGTTGCTACAATTGATCTGGAGGATGTCAGGTTAGTAGGTTGATAATATTCTGGTTAATAGTATTACAATGATATTCTTCCAGGACCTACCGGAACAATATCAGATCTAGAACTCACTCTGCTGCTAGGAGCAATCCATATCCAAGGGTCAAGGTTGAGTTTTCGGTGTGCGACAACGGGCCCTTTAAGCTTACCAATGATATGATGGATGCTAAAAACTTGGATAGGAAGGAAGTAGGAGAGTTTCATACTCCTGAAGAGGAGATTTCTATGGCACCTGCTTGCTGGATGTGGGACTACCTCAGGCGTTCTTGTCAGGGTGGCTTTTTCTTGCCGCTAAGTGGAGGAGTTGATTCGTCATCAACTGCATGTTTGATTTTCTCTATGTGCAACATGATCGTTGATGCTGTCAAGGATGGAGGTAAGTTGTGCTAATTAATCAGCCTGATTATCCTGGCTGATTTATTAGCCTGATTATCCTACCTGATTAATCAGCTTGCTGATTCCTTGACCTGCAACGTTTCCAGACAACCAGGTCCTAGCAGACGTCCAAAAAATCGTCGGAGACTTCACCTACGTCCCCAAGGACCCAAAGCAACTATGCAACACCTTGCTAGTGACCTGCTACATGGCAACGGAGAATTCCAGTTCCGAGACCAAAGCCCGAGCGAGCGAATTAGCATCCGAAATCGGGTCCTACCACCACAGCATCATCATCGACACCGCAGTATCAGCAGTCCTTGGAATCTTCCAGTAGGTCTCGAACCTAACACCCAGATTCCGTACCCACGGTGGTTCGCCCAGAGAAAACCTCGCTTTGCAAAACGTCCAAGCGAGGTTGAGAATGGTGATCTCTTATCTGCTGGCTCAGCTGATGCTCTGGGTCCGTGGAAGACCTGGAGGACTCCTAGTTCTTGGCTCCAGCAACGTTGATGAGTCTCTTCGTTGATACTTCACCAAGTACGACTGCAGCAGCGCTGATATAAACCCAATTGGCGGGATCTCCAAGCACGATCTCAAGAAGTTCATCACATTCTTTGGCTACAAATTCAATCTTCCGTCATTGGGGAAGATCATCCAAGCTCCGGCTACCGCGGAATTAGAACCGCTGGTCGATGGACAATTGGCTCAGCTGGATGAGGTTGATATGGGGATGACTTATCAGGAACTTTCGACTTATGGAAGACTCAGGAAGGTCCAGTGTGCTGGACCTTTCTCTATGTTTTGGAAGCTGGTGCCTCTTTCGAGCCATTGCTCCACCAGGAAAGTCGCTGATAAGGTAAGCATAAGCTTATCCTGGTTTTATAGGTCAAGATTTTACAGCTAGGTTGTTTTAATTTAAAGGTCAAACACTTTTATCGCTGCTACGCGATAAATCGTCACAAAATGACAATCCTCACGCTATCTTGCCACATTGAATGCTACTCACCTGATGACAATCGGTATGATCACAGGCAATTTTTGTACAATCACACTTGGAAATGGCAATTTGACGCCATTGATAATCAAGTAAGTTATTTTTATGGGTATTTATTTAAGATTATTTAATCATAATTATTGCTATGGTTTTTTTATTTCAGATTCAAGCTTATGAAGATGATAAATAAATAATTTTATAGTACAATTGTTACGTTGATTAATAAATTGATATAATAATAAAATTTAGAAACAAAATGTTGATTATTTTTTTTTGTTAAGCCTTTAGGTGTTTTTCTACGTGCAATTTTTTTAATATTTAAAGAAATTATTTAACTATCGTAATTACTAAACAAAATAGAATCCTCTGGTTGATGAGTCCTTTTAATGGGACGCCTTAGTAGGCTAAACTATAGGTCCTATCAAAAAACTTCCAAAGACTTTTTTGTAGCTCTACTCAAGACCTACAAAAAACTACTAAGTTACTTTTCGCTAGCTTGGATATTTACCGAGATACAGCGAATTTAGTAAGAAGCCTTTTTATTTTCCACAATTAGTAACGGTGGACTATGCTTGTAATTATAATAATTTTAATGATCTACTATTGTAAATTTTCAGCAAATAAGACTACCAACAGACTTAAAAAGACCAATACTATAGAGCTAATTATACAAGATGTGTTCAAGTACAAGTATAGTCCAGCATTACGATAATAATTTTATTGTAAATTATCGTAAGAATTTTTTTTGCCGGGTTAATCATATTAGTATATTATATAAATTAATATAATAGAGGTGTAAAATTAACAGACGATAATTTATAAATAAATATTAATGAGTAGTAACTTAAAGGTGTACAATAAAATTCTAATCTGTCATCATGGTATTGAGAATTGCAAAGTAAGAGTAAGCTTTTTGGATCACCTGAAAATAAATAATAATAATTAATTTATTAACGCTACTCTTTATATACACTAGGAGGGTAATTAAGAGAGAGAAAAAAAAATAAAAAAAATAGATAACTTACCGACAGATAAGTTTCCATTCCAAAAACAAAAAAGTACCCAGCTTTCATTACCATGGGAGTAAGTGTTTGATAAAGCCCAAATACAACAACTGGCTTTATTTTGCGGCCATTATAGTTCTCCCACCCGCAAGCATAGACAGTTTTAGAGAGTCTTTCATGCTAAAATACCAAAATTTCAAATCAGGTGATAGCAAGCTCATCAGCGTATCATCAGGACACACAGGAGGATTGTTACCTCATTGATCAGCAGATAACCGTAAACAGACCAGTAGCCCAAGTGGATAAGCCCTGACCCAAGCATCACCATGTCACGGAAGACGTTATTTTTTCTCTTGCGTTTAATTGTCTGAAACAGTAACCTTAAAAATAATCAAAACTCGGAGGGATAAAACTCGCATTTTTGATATATTTTTCATATATACATATATATAATATATATAAATAAATAAAATATATGAAAAATTGATGTGGGTACTCAAATGAAAGGTCTCAATGAGTATAACATCAAAATGAGCTTATATCTTTAAAAAAGTATCAATATTTCACAAGATACTAGGTAATTTTTTAATTTATTTATCTAGAGATAAAAAATAGATATTTATTAAATTATTAATAGTTAAAAAAAAAAAAATTTTCTATCAGCTGATTAAAAATTACCAAGGCAAATTGGAAGAGTCCAATGCAAGTTAAAAGACAGTCAGAGGCAATTTGAGCAAAAAGTATCAGCCCAAATAATTCATTAAAATTATCCAGACATTCAATTGGGTTTTTGAAAAAAAAAAAAATTATTGATTTTTTTTATGTATTTTAAAACTTTATTATTAATAATATTGATATTTAATGCAAAAAACTTCAAAAAAAATTTTTTTCAGTTAATTATAAACAATTAAAAATTGATGAAATTTAAATAAAAATCACGTGACTATAAACGCGCCATGATTGGTCACCATAGTTGTGACGTCATAATGTTATAGCTATTTAATAACAGTACAGCGTTTACGGCTATTACACGTGTCTAGACAATAATATTGAAAATTTATTGCTAAAATACGAGTTGTTAGTTGGTTTCGATTAGCTATGTGTGATAAAGGATTTATTAAGACAAAGTCTGATAATATTCCTGATGTTGATATATTTATGATCACCGATTTTTTAAAAAATGACGTTCGGTTTAATTCTGCTGAAGTTCGAGGTGCCAAGGCATCAAGGTAAGTTTGTTAAAAAATAATATAATAAATGAAAATATTTAATTATTTATTCTCCATTACTTTAAATATAATTATTTATTTCATAAATTGCAGAGTATCGCGTGAGAGTTACGGCGACAAAGCTATAGGTTATGTTCAACTAAGTCGTAAAAATAATATTTGTATTGTGAAAGGACGGGTATGTCCAGAACACCGAGTTCGGAGTAAAGCTTATTCAGTTACTTTAACTATTAATGAAAAGTCAAAAAAAATTCAGGATGTTCAATGCCATGACTGTGCAGCTTCAGCAGGTAATTTATACTCCTATTAAATTTAAGTTTTTTGATGTTGTAAGCAATAATAATCTTTTATATTGTGTCTACAGGTGGTTGCAAACATGCATTAGCATTACTTATGTGGACCCATCGTAGAAGTGAAGATCCGACACCAACAGAAGTCGCTTGCTATTGGAAAAAATCTCGATTATCAGGCATTGGTACAGTTATAAAATATATTGAAGCAGAAAAACTGACAAAAAAACCTCTACTACTCCTGTTGAAAATTTTCCGGATAATAGTACATTTTTACAAGAAGTTGTCGAATTTGCCAAAAATCAACAAATAAATTCTCAAATTTTTACAATAAATAATAAATATATAAGCTTAAATAGAATAGACATTTAGTAATTTATTTTATAATACAAATACTCTTAAACTTAAGTAGAAATTATAGGCGCTTGTAAATTTACAAGTGCTGCAGCAATGGCAACAATATTATCTGTTAAAGGTAACATATTATGATTAACAACCGCATGAGGTTTTAGAAAATCAAACTCTCTTATTCTTCCAATAACACGTTCTATATGAATACGTAGAGCAGCGATTCGTTTGCCTTGTAACACGTCAGATTGTGATAATTTTCCTCTAGAATTAACTGAAGGTGGTCGAATTAATTCAATATTTTTATCGTCAAGAAGTTAAACAATGTTTTTGAATCCTCAATGTTTTTGAATCAAAGAATTAATTTGACGAATTAATTCAAAGAATTGATTTGAAGAATTAATTCCAAGAATTAATTTGAAGATTTCATCTAAGGAATTAATTCAAAGAATCAATTTGAAGAGTTAATTCAAAGAATTAATTCAAAGAGTTAATTCAAATAATTAATTCGAAGAGTTAATTCAAAGAATTAATTCAAAGAGTTAATTCAAAGAATTAATTCAAAGAGTTAATTCAAAGAATTAATTTGAAGAATTACTTCAAAGAGTTAGTACAAAGAATTAATTTCAAGAATTAATTCAAAGAATGAATTTGAAGAATTAATTCAAAGAATTAATTTGAAGAATTACTTCAAAGAGTTAATTCAACGAATTAATTCCAAGAATTAACTCAAAGAATTAATTTGAAGAATTACTTCAAAGAGTTAATTCAAAGAATTAATTTGAAGAATTAATTCCAAGAATTTATTCAAAGAATTAATTCGAAGATTTAATCTGAGGAATTATTTCAAAGAATTAATTTGAAGAATTAATTTAAAGAATTTATTCAAAGAATTAATTCGAAGAATTAATTTGACGAATTAATTCAAAGAATTAATTTGAAGAATTACTTCAAAGAGTTAATTCAAAGAATTTATTTGAAGAATTACTTCAAAGAATTAATTTGAAGAATTACTTCAAAGAGTTGATTCAAAGAATTAATTTGAAGAATTACTTCAAAGAGTTAATTCAAAGAATTAATTTGAAGAGTTAATTCCAAGAATGAACTCAAAGAATTAATTTGAAGAATTACTTCAAAGAGTTAATTTGAAGAATTAATTTAAAGAATTAATTTGAAGAACCATGGTAATCTTAGTAACGCCCCTTAGTAACCTGATAATCATAGTAACGCCCTCCTTAGCAACCTTAACCATGCCCCTAGTAACAATTGTTTGACTTATAATGTCAATTTCCCTCGTTTTTCACAATATTTATTTAGTAATGCCCCTTAGCAACCTAGTAATTATAGTGACGCCCCTTAGTAACTCAGACAATTTTAGTAACACCCCCCTTAGCAACTATCACCACGCCCCTAATAAAAATTGTTTAAAGCATGCTGTCAATCCCTCCTTCTTTTCAATATTCTTCATCCAGTAACGCCCCTTAGTGACTTGGTAATTTTAGTAACACACCTTAGCAACCATAACCACGCCCCCTCCCTCGTAACAATTGTCTTTATATATCACGTCATTCTCCCTCCTATTGTGACATTTTACGTCTAGCAACGCCCCTTAACAACCCTGTTAATTTTAGTAACGCTCCTTAGCAACCTGGTAACCATAGTGACGCCCATTAGCAACCGTAACCACGCTCCCCTAGTAAAAATATTCATAAAATTTCAAACCAACTTTATAAATCAAAAATTTCAAATAAACTATTAATTTTTATTGACTATTATTAAAGAACCACCTAGGATGAACTAAAATAGATAACTATACTTAACTTGCGAACAAAATTAAATTATTGAAAATCTTCTTCAGTAGTGACAGTGTTTAGAATTGCAAAAAACGAGTATGATTTGTTGAGAACCTGTAACAAAACGACCATAAAAATTATCCAATAAAATCTGTTTAAAAAAAATTAAAAACTCACCGCCAGATAGGTATTCATTGACAGATCAAAGAAATGTCCAGCTTTTATCACCATCGGTCTCATTCCGTGTATAATGGTGATTATCATTACCTGTATAAAGTCTTTGTTGTAGACATATTCCTCCCACCCGCACTCGTAGATACTGTCTATCAAGCAGTCGTGCTAAAAGAATCCCAATGATGATTAAAGACACTTTTTAAAAACAAAATAATATTAAAAAATTATTTATTAACAGTTAATAAAGCTTATTAAATATAACCAAATCCTTCTATCACTGTAGAAGACATTAAAAAAAATAAAAATATTATTTATTTAAAAATTTTTTAATATTACAGATGTCCGAAATTTCCAAATTAAAGTCCCGGGTTCGAATCCCGGGAAGTGTAATTTTATTTATTTATTTTTTTTTTTGTTAACTGTTAATAAACATTTATTTTCATTTAATAAATTGTATTTAATAAATAATTTATCAACTTTTAATAAATATTTGTTAAATAAATCCTTCTATCAGTGGACTTACCTGGATTATCAGCATGTGACCGAAGAAACACCAGTAAAGAAGGTTCAAAAATCCAATTTGAAGCATAACAATATCGTTAGCCGGGTTGTTGTGCTTCTTGATGCTCTAGTAGGACAAAAAAATCAATTAACCTTAATAATTGGTGATACTAATATAATTGGTCCTTACTGAAACCAATCCAAATAGGCCCATGCAAGTGAGGGTGCAATTGGAGATTGTCTGGATAGCAAGTACCAAGCTGAACAGATTGTTGACATCTTTGATATTTTTAAGAACCTGCTGCTGGTGGCTAAGACAACTAGTGAATCTCTTTAAGAAGGAATCCACTTTGACATTAACCTGTTTCTCATCAAAGGGAACGAAGTTGTAGATCTCGTCCTCGTTTTTCAGCTCTTCATTGAAGCTGTAGTTTTTAACAGCGTTGAATCCTTCTTGGGTGACCATTAAGGTACCGCGTGGCTCGTAGAAAAATTGACACTGCCGGTAATTCAGCTGGAGTATCTTCAGGTCGATTGTTATCCACCTTACAAGACCTAACAGGACTGTGTCGAAGCTGTAGACCCACCAGCAATTTATTATTATCGCGTAGGTTTCAATTGCAAAGATCACCTGGTAATTTGGCGAAACTGTTGCATTAACTAGAAACACTCCACGAATTGGCAATTCGTAGCGCTCTATGTCCGCTAACAAAAAGGTCGTCCCGCTTACGCTTATGCATACGAATATATAAATTGCACTGTCGAAAAATTGGTATGACATTGCTGTTCGGATTATTTTCAATACACCAACATCTGCCGTAAATTAAATAATTAATTTTTCGTTAAATTACACTGTATTTTCGTAAATATTGACAATTTTAAAGATATAAGCTCATCTTTATGTTACACTTATCAAGTGCTTTCATTTGAGTACCCACATCAATTTTTATATATTT